CCCCCCGACCTCCCCACCCCCACGCTTCACTCTTTTTGGGCAACCTATGCTATTAATAATTCATGGTATTCAGTAGTAATTCAATCATTCAAATAATTCAATGATTCCACGGCTTCTTACAAAAAGTAAAAGCACACTCTTTGGCATTAGGAGCCCATTGTTACTAAAATCTTCAAATACCAAATTCCGTTTTTATCAGGAAGGATAAAAAGTAGTATCATATCCCAACATTCCTCCCCCAAGCAGGGGACGACTTCATTCATGTTCGGGAGACTTCCAGCAGATTTGGGAGTAGGGAGGATGTGATCATCGGTTATTGAGGAAGGAGGCTCTTTTCTTCCGTTCTGAAGGACAAGGATGCTCCCCTGGGGCCACATTATAACGTTCCCAAAGATGGCTGGTGGCAGATGAGAGTAAGCCGCCAGGTTGCTGCAGTCAACAGTGTGATTCCATTCATTTCACAGACTGGTCAGCACTCTCCTTCAGCAATTTGCTTTCTCAAAAGCAAACTCCAGTAGAGGAACAGAAGGATTGAGGGCAGGCTCTCTTGTGCTGAAACACAGAGGTTTCTAACACAGCAGGTGGATGTCTGTAGTACACAGGATGGACTCTTCCTCCTAGCTCCACCGCGCCCCCCCTCCCTCAGGCACAGACTCAGGAGGCTTCTCTAAAAAGAGGGGACTGGGGAGGGAGGCAGAGGGTCCCTGTAGGACCAGCATGGAGTGCTCTACACCCTGCCCCTTCTTTTCCCACCAATTGTCACGGAGGAATTCCTCAAGGGTGGGGCTTTGGACTTCTGTGCTTTTTAAAAGGCTTGGTGGCTTTTCAATCAATTCCTCACGCTCACTCTACTGGTGTTTGTCTAATAAATTCTTTTTATAACCATTTCTTGTTCTCTTATGCCTTCTCCTCTGTTAGCAGTTTTAAAAGTAATTTTTTAAGTATCAGAAGATATACATGCATGCACTGGGACTTCCACAATTTCATACAAGGATGGCAATACCTTAAAGTCTATTTTTCATGAACTTTTTAAAGCCCACCCCCACCACACACACACACACGCCACTCAGTCTGTCATTGAGTTAATTCCGACACTCATGATGGCCCTATAAGGCAGAGTAGAATCACCCCTATGGGTTTTTGAGACTGTAACTCTTTACAGGAGTAGAAAATCTCATCTGGTGGTTTCAAATGGCTGACCTTGTGGTTAACAGCCCAACATGTAACCCACTTCACCACCAAGGCTCCTTTCACACAAACACACACACACCTTTGACATCATAAGCCGGTGCTGATATATACAATGGAGCTGTTGGGTGGAACTCCAGGGATTACCTGTATATCTTCCTCCCAAACTGGCCAGCTAACATTCATCAATGGCCATCCTGTTTAGACTTAAGCTAAATAGTGTCAGCGGCACAGTACCCGGTAAGCAAGGTAAGAAAGAGCTTCCTTGTGCCTGCCTCCCACTCTGTAGTGAACACATTCACACGGGTCCTTCCAAGTGGTAGTGAAAACATGTGAACCCTCACGACAGTTCATCAGTAAGCACAAGTACACCCTGGCCTACCTTGCTGACTGGGTCTTCAGTTCTGGGCAGACATGGTCAATGTGAAAAGAGGCTTTGATTCTGTAGGGAGGGGCTGTGGGGTGGGGGGGACCGAGAGAGATGCCTGCCAGACCTCCAAGCAGAACCTTAGATGTACTCAAGGTGAGGTTTACTGCCCATGAGTCAACACAAGTAAGGCGTGCTGACCTTGCTTACTAAACAGTGGCTACATTTATAGCGACGGTGTGCAGGTGGAGGGTTGGGGGAAGGACCCTCATAGACCTTGCATTGCTAGCTGCTGTCCTGTTGCCTGATTTCTCATGGTGACCCCACATGCAGAGTCAAATGACTTCAGCAGTTTTCAACCTGTGGGCCACAACCCCTTTGGGGGTCAAATGGTCCTTTCACAGGGGTCGCTTAAGACCATCGGAAAACACATATTTCCGATGGTCTTAGGAACCAAGACACTGCTCCTCTAGCAGTCTCCAGAAGAGTCCGCCCACATGCAGATACACCCACCTATGAGTACACCATGGTTCAAGACAAAATTTCATTTATTTGTCATTAGAAATAAATATTTCACAATATAGAATAACATATTGTTTTTGTGATGAATCACTATGCTTTCATTACGTTCAATTTGTAACAATGAAAATACATCCTGCCTATCAGATTTTTACATGATGATTCATAAGAGTATCAAAATGACAGTTCTGAAGTAGCAACAAAAATAATTTTTTGGTTGGGGTCACCACCACATGAGGAACTCTGAAAGGGTCGCGGTGTCAGGAAGGTTGAGAACCACTGAACTACTTCCTGAGGTTTCCAAGGCTGTGATCACTTAGAGGCAGGACCATGAGCCTCTGGGGCGCCTCTTGGTGGGTTTGAACTATGGACTTTTCAGCTCCTTGTCGATGCTTGCCATCACCACCATCTAGAGAACCCTGCTCACGGAGACCCATGGGAACGCAAACTATCTCGCAGGGTTCTCTTTGCTGCAGTCCTCCTGTGAGCAGGTCACCGGATCTTCTCCCTCAGAACCCCTGGTGGTTTCCAACCGCCCCACTTTCTGTTAGCAAAGGAGTGCTTCGTTATCGCCCTGCAAGGCTCTTTCCGCCACCCCGCGGCTATTAGCTCTGATGGGTGACACACTGGACAACGAAAGACTGCCAAGTCCTGCGTCAACGTGTTGCAGATGGTATGTCACCAAGGGACTTCTTTTTCGATGACCCTCTACCAAGTATGATGTCCTCCTCCAGGGACTGACCCCCATGGGCAAACCTGCCCAAAGTCCATGAGATGAAGTCTCACCGCCCTTGCTCCTAAGGAGTATAGCCTGGTTGTATCTCTTCTGACATATTTGTTCATTCTTCCAGCAATCCACGGCATAGTTAATACTCTTCGCCAACATTATCATTCAGGGGCATTGATTCTTGGGTCTTTCTTTAATCATTGCCCAGCTTTTGCGTGCATAGAAGGTGACTTGGAATCCAGTCTTGATTCAGGTGTACTTTGGTCTCAAAGTGATGTCTGCTTTGTAACGCTTGAAGGAACAGGTCTGGAGCAGCAGATTTGCCCAATGCAATCATCCTGTGACTTATTGACTGCTGCTTCCACAGGTGGATCCAAATCAAGTGCAATGCTTGACCACATGAGTAGCTTCTCCATCCATCAGTGATGCTGCTGCTTCTTGGGCCAGTCCTGAAGACTCTGGTTTTCTTTACACTGTGGCGTAATTCACACTGTAGACATAATTCCTCAGGAAGTGCTTCAAGCCATGATCACTTTCAGCAAGCACGATTCTGTTGTCTGCATATCACAGGTTATGCATGAGCCCTCTTCCATTCCTGATACTGTTTTCTTCTTTTTTTCATTCATTTTTATAGTTTCTATTTCTTTGTTGACAGTCTCTCTCTTTTTAACAGTTTTATTAGCACGTCATCCACATGTCATACAATTCAATAATCCAATCACATCAAGAAGAGCTGTACAATTTCTC